TATGGTCTCCGTCAAGAATAGGGTCATATAGGCCGATCTGTCATAGGTCCGTTTGGAGTCCTTATGACCAGAGGCTAGTTCACAGTTCTTGGTAGTGTGGTAATGTTAGAAGGCCTTCTGAAAATCCTGCCACTCTGATAAATGATCCCAGGTGGCATTTGATTGATAGGAGGTGGGACTGTCCCTTGTCCATAACCCAGGTGCACAGAATAAATATCCAGTCTCCACTTCTTGCAGAGACCCCATCCTTGGCAGTGCCCTTGGAGGACCGCGTGGTGTCTGTGGGAGAGACAGTGGCCCTGCAGTGCAAAGCGACTGGGAGCCCTACACCTCGCATCACCTGGTTCAAGGGGGATCTTCCCTTGAGCCTGACTGAGAGGCACCACTTCACCCCGGGCAACCAACTGCTAGTTGTTCAGAATGTGGTAGCGGAGGATGCGGGCCGCTACACTTGTGAGATGTCCAATACCCTAGGCACGGAGCGAGCGCACAGCCAGCTGAGCATCCTACCCACCCCTGGCTGCAGAAAGGACGGGACCACCGTGGGTATCTTCACCATTGCAGTGGTGTGCAGCATTGTCCTGACGTCACTGGTGTGGGTGTGCATCATCTACCAAACCAGGAAGAAGAGCGAGGAGTACAGTGTCACCAACACAGGTCCTGCAACAGGGTGCACTGGGCTTGTAGGGGAAGAGTGGTGTGTGTGCAAGATGAAGTGTGTGTGCAAGGCAGGGTGTACATGAGGGAGTGTCCAGGCTCTCAGCAGATTCACATCCCTGGAGATGTCTCCTGGAGAGCTGGGGCTTTCATCCCATGGCTACCACTTATCTTTCCATACAGGCGCCAGGTGACGCCTGCTTCCGGTCTCCTTGGTTATTTAGATGCGTACTAGGACTGTGCTTACTGCCATGTGGGGGTTGTTCGTAACACCTCACAATGTGCTTTTGTTAGGTTCATCTCCCTCCCCATCTGTTGAGGCTCAGACATCTGACTGTCATACTTGTACACCCTGGGGGTGAAGGAAGGATAAGCAGTCCCAGGGAGTCTCTCACACCAATTCCATACCGCCTCTCTGCACAGCCTTGGTGGCCAGCTTTGGGGGGACCCTGGTTCTGGCCTGACAGTAATGTGTGTCTGCATCTGTCACTGCTGCCCTCATTTCACTGTCTTTTCTCCTTGCAGATGAAACCATTGTGCCACCAGATGTTCCGAGCTACCTGTCTTCTCAGGGGACACTTTCTGACAGGCAGGAAACTGTGCTCAGGACCGAGGCTGCCCATCAGGCCAATGGGCACATTGAGAGCAATGGTAAGGCCTCAAGAACAGTGATGCAGACAGGTCTGAAGTGACTCCATAGGACAGGGTAGCTGTGTGGCAAACGAGCTTGTGTGGTTGACACATCCTGTTGTCTTGATTTCGACGTGCCCTGTTTTGTACAGCTGTGTCCCCAGGAAGTCACAATCTTGGGCTCAGCACTGAATCTCCCACCAAGCTAAAGGAGGACTGCTGTGCATGATTGCTCCAAAGCTCGCTCCGGCAGCTCACTGGTGAGCAGACAACGTCTGTGAGCCTGTGTCCAGTCAACCACACATCATAATATTCAGGAAAAAAATACAGACCTTTTCTAAAAACCATTTTTCTCTATAAACAATACAGAATACCTTATTACAAGAAGAGATGACTATCTGATGATGTAGGTAGGTTCTATTTAAAATAGAACATACTGCATCATTTCGTAAGGGACTTGAGCACCGTGTGCTTACATTGCTTTCTACTTTTCACAGTGGAAAGTTCTCAAGAGGGTGAGGTAGCTACTTTGGCTGGTGGGGAACTCCGAGCAGTCATCTGGAGCTGTAAAGGTTTATTTGAATGCTGAAAGCTCGTCCGCTGGGTAGACATTAGGAAACATGCTCTCTGCAGGGCCTCTTGATGGCATAGTCCAGTGTACTGAAGCAGATGTATGAGACGAGACTGTAGTCATAGCTTTGCCTCTTCCCTTCGTGGGGCTCACTGATTGTGGGGGCTCCATTGCAGGTGTCTGTCTGAGAGATGCAAGCCTCTTTCCAGAGGTCAGCATTCATGGCCTTGCGTGTAGACAGCCCAGGCTCTGCGTGGGATATAATAAAGAGCCGTGGAAAGTGGTGGAGAAAGCCAGTGGCACCCATGGTGCACACAGGATGGGTAAGAGCTGCTCTCTTGGGACATTCTGAAGTCCAATGGGGTTGACCTACTAGTGGAAAGAGGAGATTTTATGCGAAGTCTGTGGTATGGTAAGCCTGAGAGTGTGTATTTTCCTTTTGTTATCTTTAATAAGAAAATGTTGGGGAGCTACAGAAGAGAGTAGCCCAAGGCCTCACACATGCTGATCAAGAGCCGCTGATCAAGAGCCGCCTTAAGCCTAAATTTTGACTCGTTCAGAGTTCATGTAACCCTGCAGAGTACCTCCCTGGAACTGCCAGAGCATGCTTACATTCTGAGTCCCATTTCAGCAGACTGTTCTTTACTGCAGCCTTTTCTGTGCACCAGCTCTTGTGGGAATGGGTACTACATGGGGAGTAGCCAGGACGCTCCCCTTCCAGGGGAGGAGGGAAGCAGCGTGTGGGATGGGAGATGGACAGAGATGCCACTGGCCATGGTTCTGAGCCTCCTCTGGCCTTGTCTTTCAGAACCCAGTAGCCCTGCTGTGTGTAGTGACTGCAACCCTGAGCTGGACAGCTACTCCAAGGAACAAGCCTCTCCTCAGCCTGTGTCTAGAGACATTGCACAGCCAAGTACGCCAAGTGGCCAGGAGCCCAGGCTGACTAACCGAGAGCATTCTCCACACCATCCTCACAGTGGGCCTGCTGACGCCGCTCTCACTGACTGCACAGCGCCCCTCTACCCCAGTAACCATGACAGAATGCTGCCATCTGTGAAGCAGCAGCCAGTGGCCTCTCTGGATAGAAAAGGTAATTTTGTCTGAGGAGCTGCTGGCAGCTGGGCTGGGAGCCACTTGCATGGCTAGTTCAGAAACCCTGACGCACATTTTTTTTTTTTTAAGGGGATTCTTCATGGACTTTAGCAAGGTTGTATGAACCAGACTCCACAGACTTGCAGCCTTCATCTACATTAACCTCGGGCAGCCCGGACCTCACGGACGCCCCCTCGGGCTTCCCTGCTGTCCCCAGTGAAGCCCAGCACTTGCTTGTTTCCAACGGCCACCTCAAGGCCTGTGACTCCAGCCCTCAGTCTACACCACTGACAGGACAGTTCCCTGGGAAACGGAGGGGACCATTGCTACTGGCACCGAAAAGCTAGGCTTCCTACCTCAGCTCCTGTACCTGTGTGTGCAGGAAGGAGGTAAGAAGCGGAGGAAGCTTGAGTTCAAGCGTCATCTGTACATAGTTCCTACTTCCTGCGGAGGCTATCAGCTGCTCACAGGATTCGCATCTGCAGCACAGAAATGCAAGAGGTTGTGTACAAAGGCAGAAAGTATTTGATACCATTGTACATAAGAGTTTTCAGAGATTTCATATATATTATATATCTTTTACAGAGGCTATTTTAATCTTTAGTGCATGGTTAACAAAAGAATTATACAATTTTGACAATATTATTTTTTCATATCAGGTTGCTGTCAGATTTTGAGGAGGGTCAAGAAATAGTTCTGGTGCCTTAATGCATGGCTGAAATTTAGAGGTGAACAACTGCATTTGTTTCCTGGCAGGGTGGGAAGGTTGGTAAGTCTGTGGCTTGCTTTTGTGTGCAGCAGCACCCACAGACACAACCTGCCTGAAATGTGTGTGTTGGTCGTGTGGGCAGCCGAAGACCCCCCTCCTTGTAGATTTAATCCTCCCTTTAGAGGGAGAATGAGGGTTATTAATCCACCCTGAGCAATGGGTCAGAACGATCAAGCGCTGCCTGCCGCCTTCACAGCTCATTTGGTGATACAAGTAAATGTGGTCTTGTCAGTCAGTAGCCTTGGATTGTCATTTGAGAGTTTTTATTAAGGTAGAGGCTGCTGGTGTTGGTACCTGTGGATTTTTTTTTCAATAGTTTTTAGCTCTGCTAATAAAATGCTATACCAGGAATAACAAGGACAGAGTTCTCACTTTTCAGGGCTAGCTTATTTCTACTGAGGAGCAGGCCTGCCCCCCCTCCCTCGTGCAGAGGGAGCTGGGCTCTCAGCTCTAGACCTGAGGCTGTTTATTTGCACTTTGAGACCTACCCATCTTGTGCCAACGTAAAATTCAGTAAAAATTACATTGAACCAACCAAGGTCCTTAAAATGTCAGAAAGCAAGTTCCTGCAGCCAGAGGGCTGAAAGGAGGAACTGACGACGGGTCCCTTGTCCAGCTTTGCTGTCTGAGGTCACTGTCCGTAAAGGTAAGCACATTGAACATGCTGTTGCCAGCAGTTAACTAATGTTACTTCCACAAGATATGTGAATTTGCTGCTTCTGAGAGGCAATGTGAAAAAGGAAGTATTACTTTTATGTACAAAGTTATTTATTTATAGAAATTTTGGTACAATGTACATTGAGAAACATGTAAAATATTGAAGTGTCTAACAATGGCATTGAAGTGTCTTTAATAAAGGTTCATTTATAAGTGTTAATTACCTTTTCCTATCATTCTAGAGACTCCCTTCCCTTACAAAATGCAAAGAACTTACACAAAGGGCAGACGTAAAACAACACTGCTAGATTCCTGGGATGTCACCTCATTTTTCAATAGCTGGAGCTGGTTACTGACTTCACACCAAGGGCACAAAAGCCACAGTGACAAAGTGACCTGTTCCCTGTTGGGGGCTTTCGTGCAGCATGAACGTGCACGACGCCCGACCCACAGGCCATTCGTTCCCCAGTCAAGCTGCCAGCTCACACAACAGAAACTAACCCCGGGGAGAAACACCTACATACACAATGTGCCACTCTCGTCAGTGAAAGCATCTGCCTTCTAGTGATTCCCCCAAAGGAAATGGAAGATCACGTACTGGTCAAAAGAAAGCTCTGACGGGCCTGGCCGCAGCAGTAGCAAGTGTGTTTATTGAGGAGGTGGAGGGGTCTCAGGGCTCCGCCATGGCCATGTTTCCTCATTCTGGCAGTTAGTTGGCTGCTGACAACCCCAGACGTCCCCGTGGATGACTCGCTCAGTGTCACAGTCTTAGCGGCACTGGGATTTACAGCCACTCACTCAGCGAAAGGCAGGTCTGCAGCACACCCTTTCCACGGAAGCATGCGAGCTATGCCCCTGCGTCACGGGCTCTTTCTGCTCACTTGTAACAGCAAGCTGCGGGTCTGGTCATAAACACCCAGAAAGATGAAACCTCCCAGGCTGATGGCTGCCATTCGCGGGAAGACACCTGCAAATAATCTAGGGGAGAGGAAAAAATTTGTATCAAATTGCCCACCGGAAGGGCACTGAGCTCCACAACCTACCTGAGCACGCGGTACATAGTGCTGTGATGCACAACACCAGGAGTCAAAGCAGAATGCCAGCTCTGGCTAGAAGGCGTGTCCATGGGGGGCATGCAGGATTTGGGGCAATTCTGCTGTTGCTCCTGGCAACCCAAGTCACATTTTATCCTCAGAGACCCATAAGTACAATGCCATGGAAGAAACGGCATCTGCGGGTCTGTCTGCCTGGTCAGTCTGGTGAAGGACAGGAGAGTACTACCACTTCATGTGGGCAGTAAAAGTACCCAGTCGTGGTACCTAGGTGCCACTCTGAATAGAGCAAGCTAAACTACAGTGTCACTAGGAGTGAACACTGGTGTTCACTCTTTTTTTCTTTTGTTGGTTGTGGGGCCTGAACTCAAGGCTAGTGCTCTACCACTTGAGCCACAGCGCCACTTCCGGCTTTTTCTGCTTACGTGGTGCTGAGGAATCGAACCCAGGGCCTCATGCATGCAAGGCAAGCGCTCTACCACTGAGCCACCTTCCCAGTCCATCACTCTTTAATGTGTCAGAGTTATGCACAAGTATTCCTAGATGTTCATTGTAGTTGGGCACTAGGGGCTTATACCTGTAATCCTAACTACTCTCAAGGTTGAGATATAAGGCTCAAGGTTACAAGCCAGCCTGGACAGAAAAGTCCATAAGATTCCTATTAACCAGCATAAAACCAAGGTAGAGATGTGACTTGAGTTCAAGCCCCAGCACAAAAAGAAGAAAAATGATGTTCACTGTGACATTAACAAATCTACAAAGGACCTTTGCCTGGTTATACAAGTCATGGCAGTGTATACTCAGTACAAGACCAGGCGGCTGACAAGGGTAAGGGGCAGCAACCATAAAACAATGTATAACACAGGGTAGCAACAACAAGCCCCCGAGACCACAGGTTTGAAGAACTGCTGTAAATGAAGCAGATCTGGTCTACAACAGCATCACAGGCCCTACCTACAAGACAGCTTCTACATGCACAAGAGCTCAGCTCTAGGGTTACAGGGAGAAGACTGCAGACGAGGTCTAGGGCAGAAAAGAAACTTGGGCTGTGCTGGCAGGCACATGCATTGTAGACCTGGGAAAACCTCTACGCCTGGCTACATGGTGGTTGAGGGCGAGAGCTACCAGGAAGGAAATCCCTGCTGGATGCTCACAGCCCCAGCTACTGGCAGTCTCCCCTTCCAGCCAGCACTCGGGCACCCCTGGGGAAAGTGAGATTTTACCATAGAGCCCCTTGTAGAGAGTAACTTTGGGTTTAAGTATTTGTGTACAACACTACATATAGTGATTTTTTTTCTTGTCTGGGGATAACCAAAACAAAAATATACTTGTAAAGAAAAGGTTGTTCAGTGCTGTGTTACACATAGGTATTTGCCTGAGGTTATTAGTGAGAACAGAATATTTGAAACCATTGTATCTCTAGCCTGAAAAAAATGCATTTTCTAGGCCCTGCCCTACCAAGGGAAGGTGCTAGGTATGGGGTGAACAGAAGCTGGGCTGTACGTGCCTGTGATTCAGCCCCCTGCCTACCTAACTGAGCTCAGCGGCTCCTGGCAAGAGGCGCATGGAAGCTGCATGCGGTTGGCTGCTTCGCTTTTGCCAGATGACAGCTGAATCCAATGTCATGCATGCAGCTTTAAAATACAGTGAATAAAATACAAAGAGCACTCTAAACCAACCCAGAGGCAGAATCGCGAGGAGGGTGGGGGTTGGTTCCAGTGACTACCAATCACAAGAGGCCAAATGTGCAGCATTTTGCACAGGCTGGACATAAAGGGGGAACTGGGCAGAAGCACTTCTTAAAGTATACAGTCAAGTTCTTAGAAGAGGAAGGCACAGTCCAGAACACAGTCCATTTGCTCGGCAGCTACTGCAGTGAAGCAGCATGGAAAGACAGTGCCTAGACTGCCATTCCTGGTCTTCTCCTGTGGAGCCACCATTTGCCTCTGTGGAGAGGGCAGCTCCATTCACCACTTGCAGGCGGGCCTGTCTAGCAGTGCCAATACTGGGAGAACACTGGCAGAGAGAGATGTGGCTTTCTTCCCAGAAACCCCAAAGAGGAAGCCGATGGGCAGCCTAGGAATACCCCTGAGAAAAGCTTGCCCAGGCCTGGAGGGGGTTAGGGCTTGATTGCTGTTTCTGAGAGGTAGTCTTCTGATATAGCCTATAATGGCCTTGCGCTTTCAATCCTCATGACTCAGGCTACCAAATGCTAGAATTATGCAGGTGAGTACCATGCCTGGAGCTCATTTTCCAGATGAATTAATCCTTTCAGCCTATCAATAAGAAAGCTGGCACATCTTAAGGAACAACCTTTGTGTGGTAAAATGCACTGCTCACCACTATACTGCATTCGCTGCCTAGTTCGTGCTCAAGAAGGTAAATAGAACATCCCAATCCCCTTTCAAGGCAAACACAGGATGGAGATTGGAAGGGCTCGTCTGCTGGTCTGCTCACTTCGAACAGGGGCAGAGTTACATCAAATATGCACCGCACTGTTCCAGGGAAGACTGATCTTGCATTACCTACACAAAATGATCCTTCTTTCTGTGGCCATGACGTGGTCTGTCATGTCCCTGCCCACCCCACCCATTTCTCCACGAAGGAGATGGGCTACAGCTCCACTGCAATTCCACAGGCCAAGGTCAAAAGCAGAGGTCTGGCCAGCTGCTGCCCCAGAGTCTAACGAGAACTGTGAGGAAACAGTCGTGAAATTTGGTTGTATAACATGAGAGCAAAAGGCCACCACACACAAGTCTGCATGTGCAGTCCAACCACTGCTCCAAACACCTGAGGAATCTACCATCTCTAAGTACACAGCTTCACGGCTCATTTGTGCTTTCCTCATACCATCTTGCTTCAGTGCAGGGTTGGTATGAAATGGATAGGCCTCAGAGAAGAGCAACCATGCTCTCATGCTATCATTCACAAGATGGCAGGCCTAAGTGGTGGCCTTCCAACACTTTTAGCACTCTCCAGTGCTCTAGAGGTCAATGAGTTCCTGCTAGAACCCGTCTTCATCTCAATCCATCACAGTTGCCATTCCAAAAAACGATCCCAAACTACCCACACTTCAAACTTCCAGCTGGAAATCTGAATCAAGATGGGCTGAACAGGGGCCTGACTTCATGCATCACAGGCTATCTATCAGCTAGCTGAAGCAAAAACTACAGAAGCCACAAGCGAGCGCTCCATGGAGGTCGGGGATGAGGAAGTGAGTGGCAGCCCCAGATGTCTGGAAGCCTGAAGGCCAGATGGGGGCTGTGCTCTGCACCAGCCAACCCCGAGCCAGGCTCGCCCCTCGCCAAACGGAGGCAGTGGCTCTGCTCTGGTAGAACGTCCACTTATCTGTAAGAACCCAGTATTCACAGAGCTTTACATATAGGAACTGTAAAATGGATGTTGGGAAACGCTTTCTGAGACAGCTGTTTAGGATGTGGAGCTAAAAATCAGAGGCACTTTCCCAACCACACAGAACAATGGCACTTAACTGAGGTGCTGTGCACTGCACAATATTCAAAGGACACTTGTGAGTGGCAGCACAGTTTCAGAAAGGACAGACTGCATGTAACACTGTGGTCTTGCGAGACTATGATGCAGCTGAAAAACTATGATTGCCCAGTGTTTCTACTAACCCTTTCCTATGTTAACATGTTTAGTTACTATTTACAGTGGTCAGAATAGGAACACACTGTACAGATTTGCAGCCTGAGGTCAACAGGCTGTACTGCACACCCTGGTGTACAAGAGACAATACCACAGCAGTGTGAGGAAACACTGCATAATGTCAACAAGACAGCAAAAGACAAAATTACCGATGCAAAACACATTCCTATCACAAGACAATGCGTGGCTGGAACCTGCCCCTAAGAACAGCTAAAATACCACAATCATAAATGCCCTCTTCTAAGCCACTTGCATTCCCATATCATATAACGGGAAGCTTATCTTAATCATAGGCTGGCCAGGATGTGAATGCCATCCACCATCGAGATGGACAAAGTGCAGCCACATTCTACCATACTGCATCAGGATTGTGCTACATCACTATCGCACATATGTAGACTCTAAATAAGGAGACCCCAAGCAGAACATCAGCAGAAGCAATTTTGGAAAAGTGTTCATCTCATGGCAGGGTAAAAGACTAAAAAGAGAGGGTAGAGGAGATAAGACCCCAAGCGTTTCCTCTGTCCTCACCCTGTCAGTCCCTCTGTCCGCCAGACTCCATGCAGTGCAGAGAGCACGTTCCCACTAGCAGCACTGGAGCCAGCCTGCAGGAAAACACAGAGAAGTCATTACCTGCTGTGGTGCCAGACATCCTCAGATGCACCGTTCCCACTCATGGACAGCTAGGACAGTTTCTAACAGCACAAGGATTTGATCAGAAATGAAACCTGGATCTTGCTGGCCTAGCAGCATTCCAATTCAGACACACAAATAAGCGGATGCGGTCCCATGCCACAAGGGACACTATCTCAGAGCTGCCTAATGACTGAGGTGCAGCTATTAACAGCTGAGGAGGGTCAGGACTGCAAAGTGGTACAATTGAAACACTTGTCTAAGCCAGGCACCAATGCCTCATTCTTCAATGAGGTTTGAAGCCAGCCTTGGCAGACAAATCTGAGACTCTTATCTCCAGTTAACCAACAAAAAGCCAGAACTGGAAGCATAGCTTAAGTGGTAGAGCACCAGCTTTGAGTGATAAACCAGGGAGTATGAGACCTAGAATTCAAGCCCCATTACACACTTACACACACACACACACCTATGCAGGTAGTAAACACATTTAATAGAGAATACCATTTTCAATTTAAAACATGACCCACATTCTTAGATTTGGTCCTGTCCCCCCCCAACCCCGTGTACCCGAATTTTTACATACTTGCAGTATCTTCTATAAGGATAGGACTTTTCAAAAATTTGTTTTGAGGGGCTGGGAAGGTGGCTAAGTGGTAAAGTGCTTGCCTTGCATGCATGAGGCCCTGGGTTCGATTCCTCAGCACCACATTAGCAGAAAAAGCTGGAAATGGTGCTGTGGCTCAAGTGGTAAAGCGCTAGCCTTGAGTTGAAGAGCTGAGGGACAGCACCCAGGCCCAGAGTTCAGGCTCCATGACCGACAAAACAAACAAACAAAAAAACTGTTTTGGTTTAGACATGTTATTTGTGTGGCCCACATTGAATTCTAGTCTAGTTGTCTTTTATTAAAAACACATTTTAGTAATTTTTGAAATGGTTCAGGCAACTGTTAGAACTTATCTAGCCAACCACGACCTTAGCAAAGAGCCTACGTTCTTAGCTGTTGACTGACACGAAGTGAGTCAACCTCTCTGAGCCTTAGGCTTGTCACCACTAAAAACAAATTTGAAAATGTTAGCGCCAAGCAAGGCCCTCAGACCTAGTTGCTTTCACAATGCACAGGAGAGTGATCTCGAAATGAAAAGCGCTTCCCCACGCTACCCGTGGCGATTCTGTGACTGCCTTCTCTCTCTGCTGTGTTGCCACGGCTCCGCAGCTACTTTCACCCCTTCATTTATCTCCCTGTCATCCCACTCACCTTTGCCAGCATAATTCTTGTCTTTGCCACATCCAGAGGGGTGGTGACAACAGCTGCAAAGCCACCTGTGCGGGAGACGCAACACGGAAGGGAGATGAGCTCCATGCGCTAGGTGGCCACTGTACACCCTGTCTGCTCACTGCTTTGAGGAAGTTACATGTGCAGGATCTTCACCCACATGCTTCATTCCTTCTGCATGAATATGGGACCACATCTTAAAAGGGCAAAGGCAATGCTTTCTCACTGAGCCCTGCAATCCATCTTTCCCTTTCAAGGAGAGTACACAACGCACGTGCATACGGCCACACACTCCAGGTAAGAGGCACACGGCTCTCAGGCATTCCCAGTGCCTTTCTAGGCTGCTTTTCTACACACTGACTCCAACATGTGCCTGTTGTTTCTTTCTGCTTCGTAGAGAGCAAAAGGGATGGCCAACCAAATATTCATATATGAATAGCTGGATTCTTCAAGAGTAAATCCTTTGGTATTTCACAGGCACTTGGAAACAGCCTCAGTTCCTCTGCTTCTAGGCTCAACTCCCTCAAGCTCCAGCAGGCACTTTGCCTTATGGCTACCTTCCGATCTTCTCTTATGCTCTCTATCTGAATGGCCATTTGGCCATCACAGGAACCAAAAGACTTTTATTGTTAGCATAAACTACAGTTTATGGTTTCACTATTGCACTTAGTACAGTATGAAGATGTAGTGTAAATTGCAAGAGGTCCTACGGAGAGAAAATTTGAAAACCCTAAAGGGTTTCAGAAGTTTCGTGAGGGTCAAACACAACACACCTGTCAATGGGGCTCTAGAAACAGCTTTGTTCTCCCTCTGTCCTGGATTGTGCATGAGAGGCATTTGATCTCTGTCAAATGTATTTCCAAATGTGTGGCTGAAATAAGATCATCAGGTGACTATCCCCTATCAGGTCATACTAGTTACAACACTTTTGGAAAGGTGTATTTATGCATTTATTTTCTATTTTTAGTTAGATATGAACATCACTCACCTTCCAGCTAAGGAATGTCAATCAGTCAACCCTTTGTTGAGAACCTTCTTAGTTCAGCCCCACTAGAATTATGAATATGTGAAATTTAGAAATGTTTACACTTCACATATTTGTAGACCAAGTCCGAAAACTCCTACTCTTTAAAAAAAAAATCTGAAGCACTTATTTTGCCCTAGAGGAACAGAAGCACATTTAATTATGGAACAGTCCAAGACAGCTTCACATCCATGAAAAAAAAAAAAAGAAGAAAAGGAAACAAAGACAACAAATTTGTATCATCCTATTTTCCTTCTCTGAAGAACTGACCAGCAAGGCCTGCAGGGCCTGGCCTCAAGCACAGTTCTCTAAAGTTAGGGCCTTGGCTTACGACCATGTGACTGACCACAGGTAACCGACTGACTCTCCAGCACAAGACCTCATGAGGTGCCCATGCTTGGGGGCAGGGCACTGATGCTTCTGGAAGAAGCTAGTCAGTACAGAGCCCAGACCTGCGCTCACTGATTTAGTGCCTCGGTGTTCTCGTCTGTAACAAGCAGACAAACCACATCTACGCAAGTGTCTAGAACAGTGCATGGCTCACCAGAGTGCTACAAGGAATCAACTCTTCTGGGGGGGGGGGGGCAGGGACAATGGTGGCTTTCTTCCCATCTCTAGCCCAGTGTACAGGAGACACTCAAAATGCTCAATGGTTGCCCTGACATGTGTCTACCCTTGTACAAAATGAAAAGGAGAAAGGCGGGGCTAGCGCCCGTGCTGCGCTGCTTCGGATCTGGCTCTGCTGCCACCATTTCCAGTGCCTCATCTCCACAGGCGCTCTATTTCCATCCGCCCTCTTGCCAGGCCACACACTAGTAGGTCTTGTGCATTTGACTCCAAAAGTTGTGCTCTTTCTACTACCTAAGGACTTTAAGACAGGCCAAATTAAAATTTGTCTCATTGTTAAACCTCATTTTCCTATTTGAAACTATCCTAAGTCAATTAAAATGGCCTGAAAGTCACCAAGGAATGGAAGTATGGTACATCAAAGAGATTTCTTTTGACTTCTTGGAAGGGTTTACCGCCTCCAAAGTGCATGCCTGCCAAGGTTCTCTTACAGATTTCTGCTTCATGAGAGCAGTATGAAGAAACACTCAACCAGAACACATTTGCTTCATGGGGCCACATTTTACCACCAGGACGGAAGCTGTTTTGAAGACAGCATTCACAAGTCAATTTGGAGGTCTTCAAATATCAGACTATAATGCACAGACCTCAGCAGGCTACAAGAAGGACTTGCAAAAATAAGGGCTTATGAGAACATGGTCAAAGGAAGGACGAGGGTGAGGACGTAAGGCGTGCAGTGAGTGACAAACACATGAAAGCACGCTAACCATCAGACAGGAAGTCACTGGCACAGCAATCGGTTGCTCCATGCTCCTGCCATGTGTGAGACAATCTCGGTGGTCTCCGCTCGGGGTGGATCTTGTCAGGCCACTACTTTTGAGGGCCACATTCAGCAGAAACAGGACTTGGGCTAATCAAATTGCCTCTCCTGTTCTTTAGGAAATGAATGCAGTCTTTACCTTCTTAGACCAATGAGCCACTTGGTAAAATACTTCTGGAGCTATGACCTCTGAGCAGCAGCTGGGAAAGGGGGTGGGGGTGGGGGTGCAAGGCAGGAGTCAGGGGAGACCATCCCTGGGAAGCCTGCCACATCCACTGCTCCTCTGGTTAGTCTGGGAAACACAAGCGCTCCATCCAGCGCCCCCCACTCGTGATCTCCATGCAGCTCCCTCCAGCGCCCCCCACTCGTGATCTCCATGCAGCTCCATCCAGCGCCCCCCACTCGTGATCTCCATGCAGGTGTCCCCAGCATGCTTAATCATGTGTGCTAAGGACCATGTCAGGCTACCTCTGTTACCCACATAATCCTGCACCCTATTCCAGAATTCCAAACCAGACAGCTCTCTCTCCCGTGCCCTTTCTCTCAGACACATGTTTATTAGGAGAACTTGATTAGAAATACCAAAGCAGCGAATGGCATGCGTACCCAGCGAACTTTATGCTTTTACATTCAGAAGTGAACTTGTAGTGAGAAAGTTGGCCAAGTTCTTCTTCCCCCCTTCCTTAACCCCTGACCAGAAGCCAGCATTTCTGAGCGTGACAACCCATCAACACCTCCAGCCTCAAGAGGCCTTTTTGGCCACCTTGCCAAGTAGAGTATGAAACAAGCACAGCAAGGTCGAGCGCCGAGGATGGCAGGGAGGACGCTCAATGCCGCCATCAGCCCACCTACACTGCGGGGCAGAAACTGGGTTCTGATCCGAAGGCAAACTGACTACTGCCCCTCTGGCCGTGCAGGGGAGGCACAGTGGGAAGAGCCGCTCCTCACCTCTGCGTCCTGGCCAGAAAAGGCTGCCAGCGCCTTCCACACAGTGTCCACCTCCGCCTCCCACACAGTGTCCACCTCCGCCTCCCACACAGTGCCCACCTCCGCCTCCCACACAGTGCCCACCTCCGCCTCCCACACACTGTCCACCTCCGCCTCCCACACAGTCCACCTCCGCCTCCCACACAGTGTCCACCTCCGCCTCCCACACACTGTCCACCTCCGCCTCCCACACACTGTCCACCTCCGCCTCCCACACAGTGTCCACCTCCGCCTCCCACACAGTGTCCACCTCCGCCTCCCACACAGTGCCCACCTCCGCCTCCCACACAGTGCCCACCTCCGCCTCCCACACACTGTCCACCTCCACCTCCCACACACTGTCCACCTCCGCCTCCCACACACTGTCCACCTCCGCCTCCCACACAGTGTCCACCTCCGCCTCCCACACACTGTCCACCTCCGCCTCCCACACACTGTCCACCTCCGCCTCCCACACAGTGTCCACCTCCGCCTCCCACACAGTGCCCACCTCCGCCTCCCACACAGTGCCCACCTCCGCCTCCCACACAGTGCCCACCTCCGCCTCCCACACAGTGCCCACCTCCGCCTCCCACACAGTGTCCACCTCCACCTCCCACACAGTGCCCACCTCCGCCTCCCACACTGTCCACCTCCACCTCCCACACAGTGTCCACCTCCGCCTCCCACACAGTGCCCACCTCCGCCTCCCACACTGTCCACCTCCCACACTGTCCACCTCCCACACAGTGTCCACCTCCGCCTCCCACACAGTGTCCACCTCCGCCTCACACAGTGTCCACCTCCCACACAGTGTCCACCTCCGCCTCCCACACTGTCCACCTCCCACACAGTGCCCACCTCCACCTCCCACACTGTCCACCTCCCACACAGTGTCCACCTCCGCCTCCCACACAGTGTCCACCTCCCACACAGTGCCCACCTCCGCCTCCCACACACTGTCCACCTCCCACACACTGTCTACCTCCCACACACTGTCCACCCCCGCCTCCCACACACTGTCCACCTCCGCCTCCCACACAGTGCCCACCTCCACCTCCCACACAGTGTCCACCTCCGCCTCCCACACAGTGTCCACCTCCACCTCCCACACAGTGTCCACCTCCGCCTCCCACACTGTCCACCTCCCACACAGTGTCCACCTCCGCCTCCCACACTGTCCACCTCCCACACAGTGTCCACCTCCGCCTCCCACACTGTCCACCTCCCACAGTGTCCACCTCCGCCTCCCACACAGTGTCCACCTCCGCCTCCCACACTGTCCACCTCCACCTCCCACACTGTCCACCTCCCACACAGTGTCCACCTCCGCCTCCCACACAGTGTCCACCTCCGCCTCCCACACAGTGTCCACCTCCGCCTCCCACACAGTGTCCTCCTCCGCCTCCCACACAGTGTCCACCTCCACCTCCCACACAGTGTCCACCTCCGCACAATTTGGACCATGCTTATCCTCCAACCATGTTTCAAAATAGTAAGCTTATTGCACTACATCAGCTTTTGTCCCAAATAAAATTCAGAAAGAAAAAGGAATTAGAAAGACATCTGTCTTCTGCTATGTACATCTGCTAACAATGGAATGTTTACAGACTTTGGACAGAGTCCTTCACTTATTAGAACCTCATCTGAAAAAATAAGATGACTACTTAAAATCTGTAAGTTAGCTGGGCACCAGTGGTTTATGCCTGTAACCCTAGCTACTCAGGAATCTGAGATCTGAGGATTGTGGTTCAAAGCCAGCCCAGGCAGAAAAGTCCACGAGACTCTTATCTCCAATTAACCACCAGAAAACTGGAAATGGTGCTTTGGCTAAAGTGGTAGACTGCTCACTAGCCTTGAGCTGAAGAGCTGAGGGACAGCACCCAGGCCCAGAGTTCAAGCTCCACAACCAACCAAAAAAAAAAAAAAAAAAAAACCCAAAAAACTCTATAAGCTTTTAGAAGAAATTAGTCTACACAGGGACTTTATTAACATTCTTCCATTTGAGAGGATGAATTATTATAATAACTTCTCATTTTCTGGGTTTTATTTTTATTGAAAGAGCAATAGTTCTTTATGTAAGTATAGCCTTATAGATTGCAAAGCACCAACAACATACATTACCCACTTAGTCCCTGCAGTAACTTTCTACAAAACAAGTATGGCAACTGGCACTCGGGAAGGCCACCACTTCCTACCGGAGTTGGGGCAGACGAGACTTGGTGCTAACCTGAGTATGCAAGGTGAGAGGGTCCAGGCACCTTCCTATCAGCTCCACACCCCACACCACAGAGCTCTTATCCTCCATGAGCCACTTGACCGGAAGGGCTGGGATTGCGGCTTCCTAGCACAGACCAGAACTTTCCTTCCTTCTCGCCTTTGAAAATTGTGCTTAGTAGAGAAAAAGTGCTTATTCAGAAAATGGAACTCTAACCAAGGCCAATTTCTGCAATACATACTGTCAGTGCATCTGCCAGCAAATCTTTGAATTTTCTATTTAAGGAATATGTGTGGTCACAGCATATATACTTATTTCAACACACAGAAATTTTAGTGTTGCTAACTTGGAGTGGACTTCCTTATCCAGGATGACTAAATTTCCATAATGCTCACTCTGTCTCCAAGAACCAAGAGGCAGTCAACAAAAACTCATACTTCCCCTAGGTAAGACAGACTCCGGAGCACCGCAACATGAACAGAGACCACCCACTTCTTAACATAGCTAATGGCTGTCTCAGTGGAAACAATGGCCCATTCTAATCAGTCTAGGTTGGTGTCATGTCTGGAGGCAAGATTATTTTTCTTATGAACACATCCATAGCTTGAATGGGTTTAATTATTAACAAAGAACACTAAGAAGCTGCTGTGGCTCAAGTCTGTAGTCCAAGCAACTTGGGAGGTGGAGACCAGGGACCCATGTTCAAGGGCAGCCTGGGCACAAAAACTCCATTTTGACCAACGGCTGGGCAAGGCAGCATACAGCATGCACCTACTGTCCTAGCAATGCAGAGAAGTACAAACAGGAGGATCATAGTCCAGACCAGCCTGGGCAAAAACTGAAAGCCTACCTTGAAAACAACTACTTCAAAAGGGGGCTGGCAGTAGAGCTCAAGTGGTAGATTACCTACATAGCAAATGTGAGTCCCTGCATTCAAAACCCAGGATTAAAAAAAAAAAATCCTCTAAAATCATAAATTTCTGTTTTCCTAATCACTCTTACAACAAAATGAATCTAATGAATATTAAGCAAAAGTAGAAATTATTTCCCAGTAAAAATGACCTAAACCTACCTACCCATTAAAACAACTGTAGTGCTAATTAATTTTTTATTTGTAGTGACAACATGTGCTTCTCTCTTAGGCTTTAAGACGATCACTTACTCTGCTCTTTAAAGCACCTGAGTTCTCATGAAGACCTCACTGGAAAATTCAAATGACTCAATGATGGATGACACAATACTGCGCACTGAGACTCTGATCTTGCTTTAATGTCTCCAAAATGCCCAGGTGTTTGAACGGCCATGGTTTCCGCCTAGCACAGTTTAGCCTCCGGTAAGCTGTAGAGCAGCCTGTGCTCTCCCGACACCAGTTAATCTGCCGTGCTGTCAGACGTGTCACACCAACTGTGAATCACAGCCCAAGCACCACTCAGGCAGACAGCTGTGGGAGCCCTGCCCCCAGCAAGCCCTGCACACAGAGGACTTCATAAATCATCTTTCAGATAAGCCAAGGGCCTGAGTGAAAGCTTTCATAAAGATAAAAAGAAAAAAGGAAATTTGTCAAAAACAAATTGGTTGTCTTTCAGAGAGACACCTTGTTTTAGTATCTCCCCCCCCCCCCCCCCCCCGCATCCCCAGCACCCTTTTCTCAGCTAGTGAAGCTCTTCCATCTCAACAATCTGGAATGCCTAAAGAATGTTGTTTTTGCATAGTTAATATTTTCACATCCCCCCTCTTTGGTCTTTCCCAGTATAACATAATCCTTTGCACCTGCAAAAGCTCCACAGACTGCTGACTGCCAAGAATCCACCACACGATCCTGCCGCCAGGACCAGAGGGCCTGTGTGGAAGGAGAAAGAAAAACATAAGTTATTGAATCTTTGCGTTTATCGGAACCTGCTGCGGGTTAGTTCTGGGGATGGGAACTAAAGTGAGGAGCTATTTTGGTGGCATTCTTCAGCGATGACCTCAGAGACTTTCCCAAGGACTGAACTGCATTCTAAAATAAGTCAAAGAAATGAGGGTGGCAGCTATGATCCAGTGTGCAAAGGAAACAAATTTCAGAGACTATTACATACAAACACGGATTAAACATAATGTGCCTTTAAGACAATGGAGTGTTTTACATATTCCCTATATAATTCTAAGTATATGCACTGCCATTTACAAGTCAGTTCTGAACAGGTATGCCAAATCCCTCTGTTCTTTTAATTTTTATGCACATTTTAAGGGTATTAATTCTATTACCAGAATATTAATTTAAAAATTATTAAAGTTGTAGAAGACCAGCTGTGAGTGAAAAACCTACATGAATGCATAAGGTTGAGTTCAAGCCCCAGTACCAGCATAAATACATGCATGTATACACACATACATACTAATTCTAACAGCAGTTATAAAACATACTTTTACTCCCATTGTCTTCACCAAAATCTCTCAGATATGGGCAATTTCTAGCATTTTGTGATTTTCAACAGACAAAGTAGTAGAGGCTCAGATGTTAGGTAACTTGCCAACATTTAAGCAATGAGTTAGTAGTGAAACTGGGGTGAGAATGGGGTAATGTGGTCTGAGGTAAACAAACAAGTGGATTCAGATCTATGATTGTGGCTATCTCGACAACCAGCTGAGGTATTTATAACACACATCAGTACCACACAAAGAGCACTGCCTCACTGGAACATTAAGATACCATGTGAGTAAGCGTGCTGTGCCAGTATTCAACACAATCCACCTAAATATGGATTTTATTTTCTAAAAATAAGACATTGTCTGAATATAAAATGTTTCAGACAAATCTATGAGTGCCATTTACAAATGATTAATTTCAGAGCAACTTTAAATTTATAAAAAACAACCCAAGACTGGTAAGAAGTATAATGTACAAGGGAACATTTCTGAAAATTACATGTACTATCATGTATTTGATGGGACATAAAAATTATGCTAAATGAAACTGGCTGGAAAAACAAGATAAAGATATTAATTTACCTTATTTAACTAATGTAAGACTACACTGGAAAGTGAAATAAAAATATATGTAATAGTATAAATGATGACTATTAACCTCATCAATTAACAGTCACTAAGTATCTTCCACATTACAGGAATTATGCTAAAACTTTTACATAGAAAATATACACTGTTGTTGTTCACAGCAACAGGTGAGGGAAAGTTCTGAGAGATGTGCAGTTCGCTCCTCAGGAAGCATGTGTTCTGTAGAAAAACAGGCCAGTACAAAGGTGCAACCTCATCAGATTCCTTACCACGACTCACAGCTTGACTTCTAGCAGTTACAGAGAATATGAATGTTATTACAGAAACATTCTCAAGGCACTAAAATCTGTTTCAATAATATAGGTATATGAGAAAATGTTTTTGGAAGGACCTGTCAGAGCATCAAAATTTTTTAACTTACCATAATTTGTGAATCTCAATAAGGATTTTCATTTTAACCAAGTCCTAGTTACCTTTTGTGTCAAGGAAGACAGAGGACTAAGAAGGGCATGGATAGGAGACAGATAAGGGCTAAATGTAAAGAATCAATGCTGGAGCCTCAACTCATAAGATGGAGGTCAGACACGAAAATAAAAGCTAAACTATACAGGAGACCATACTTTGCATGGTGTTTGGTGTTTGTGTGTTATCCCAACTCTATGTGCTGTTCCCTTTTGTACTCCAAATAAAAATGTAACTTTCATATAACTCTATTGACATTTGTTTGTATTGATGAAAAAGTCCAAGTTTAAGGAGACTGGCTAAAGGAAATGTTCTTGATTTCCCTTGTGTGCACATGCCTGACGCACACATTCACAGTCAGGGTCTCTCTATGCAGATCAGACTGGCTTTGAACTCAAGAGCCTCTGCCTCATCTTCCTGAGTGCTAGAATTATATAAGCACACCACCATGCCTGGCTTGCGGTTATGCTAAGTAAAGCTTCCTTAAGCTAGGATGATGGGAAAATATTTTAAATAACTTAAAAAAATTATTGTAAAGGAAATGTACCAGTGGAATTACCGTTTCATAAGTCGGATAATGAGTACATTTCTTTTTGAACAGTGTCACCTCTTTCCTTGTTTTCTCCCAGTTCATTTTCAACATAATGTCAAGTGAGTATCGTTACTGAATTAATTCACCCTTTGTCCCTCCATTTCTGTGCTCCCCCATGCCCTCCCCAAATCAGATCAACTTACATACAAAAGGTACAGAAATAAAAAATACCAACAAAAAGGGTAAAACAGAAAAAAAAACTCACAAAAAATAAAATAAAAAACCTTGTTTCCATTTCTTGGGAGTCCAATTCAATAAGCATCATTTTATATGATCATATGCACATAGTTATTGACCCTCTCCTAAGAATATCTTCCTTGGCTCTCCCTGTGTGAATGTTTAGTCCTGTTTCATTTATCATGTCCAAGTGTAGTTTTTTGTGTTTTACTATCCATTGTGTTTACTTATAGATGTATAGGCACATTCTAATTATTACAAATGAAGGAAACAATGCAACCTATGTTTCTTTGGGTCTGGCTTACTTCACAATATAATTTTTCCAAGTCTTTCCATTTCCTTACGAATAAGGCAATATCATTCTTTTTGATGATTTGGATCAAGAAAATGTAGTATATTAATAACATATTGTGGCAGAAATTCTAGCTTCTACAGCACAATGATCAAATCAAGAACTTGAAAGTGGCACAAGACTATTAACTATGCTGTGGGCCTTAAATGAATTTCACCATAATAACTACTATTTCAAGTATGCAATTTGTAAACACCAGCCCTGTTCTTTGAATGAAGATATTTCGATTATCTGGCCGCTATTCAGGCACTGCTACAAGGATAGCCAGGTTGCTCCCAAGAAAATCTTCACTGCTTGCTGAAGTCCTATTAGAGGAACCAAAGTAGCAGGTGTAAGCAGTAGTATTCTCAAGAGAGAGGCTGCAGTCACACGCTCTGGGTCCAAGCCTGGGGCAGGTTCCTTTTCACTTCAGATCTTCCCAAACACATGCTACTGGCGTAAGAACACAACTACTCACAGGGGTCCAGGACAGGAAAAAATTACTCAGTAGGACTTAAGCAGCTTCCCGTCTTGTAACATTATAAAATGTTTGTGGGTACCAATTATAAGTCGTGTACAAAATCACCTCCTTGATTCCAAATAAATGACATCAGAGGACTGTGATGTTAAGATTTTCAAACCTAGACTTGCTTCCCATATCATGCCTGTGGAGGTCTCACTGATCAAATCTACCGCCACGGTTTTATAACACAGCAAAGCTAGCAGCTAACGTTCTCCCAAATGCTCCTGTCCTGGCGCTGAGGAGCTACTGTGCAGCTACGGCACACAACAGCTACCTATGATCTCATTACTCTGTTAGATGTACCATCTCTTCAATAAAAATTTCCAAACAAACATGGAAAATTGAAAAGAAGGCCCAACAGGCACCTGCTGCTGCCATTCTCTGGTTCCAGCAATGTAATCAAATGGCCAAAGGCCAGCATGAGTTCCTCACATAGAATCGGTCTTCCTTTAAAACTGGATACACACACACACACACACACACACACACACACACACACACACACACACACACACACTTGCTTAAAAAGAATCATATGGAGTGCATTGTTTATTCTGGTAACAACTATCTACAGCTAGAATGAAGCTACTTAGGATACGTCAGTAGCACCACTGTTATGTGGGTTGGTTTGTACTTTGTTTCAGTAGGTTAAGGTAGTCAACTACATACATGCTATATAAGTAGAGTAGTAAAGATAAGATTTCTATATAAAAAAGTCTTGAATAGGGAATGGTATTTACTGTCGTTGAGCAAAAGCGGGGTGGGATATGATGCTACATTTATTCAGTAATATTTAGGTATTGTCATTTCCATCATAATATTTTTAGATGTGTTTGGAGAAAGCTCTCCCTCACTCAGTATCATCTCACTGTCTGAGAAAGTTATAACAAAATAATGTGACTGATGCTCCTGATGTTAACTATGAGTCATCCATAGGTATGGTTATTTTTAAAACTTCTATCTGCTAAAGAACCCTTTTCTTGTTATATTTAACTATGGCGCAGTCTTTCAAAACAGAGATATGAGATAGCTAGGACATTACTGCCACAAAGAAATGACGAATGGTGACTATGCCCCCTCCCATTGGTCACTGCACAATATGTACAAGTAGCAAAACACCACATAGTGCCCCCCAAATTATGCACAATCATTACATCAACGAAAAATTAAACTTTTTAGAAAGATGTTTATCCAAAAGAGTTCAAAGGAAGGAGTTGAAGGTCTTGCCTTGACAAGATCCATTCATCTGGAAGCAGACACAATGACAGGCCTCCGTCCTCTACCACAACGGAAAAATACAAGGAAAGGCATTATGCTTTTACTATCCCCAAAGGCAATCTCTGCTCTATAGGATTTGATAGAAGATGGGGGCCCTATTCCCTTATCTCTGGAGCCCTAGAGTGCCTTGTGGCTACTCTTACAAAGAAGGAAGGTAAATATTTGGTGCCCCGCATGAATTCCTACAATGCGCATGAATTCCAACAATGTAAGTAGCATTCAATAACTTCCCCTTGTGCAAAGAATGAAAAAAAAAAGTATAAATTGGCCAACCTACATAGCTGACAGTTTATGTTCTCACTTAAGCAGAGAATCATAAGAATGAGGCATGGCAGAGCGGTGCCATGTCACAGATGACTGGACTGCACTGTGGTGCACCGGGCTGAGATGGTCTTCAAGATGTGTTCAGGCTCAGCTGGCAGAAAGGCTGCGATCAAACGCAGTGTCTGCTGAGGCAGAACAAAACAGGGTAGCACATAC